CTATATATATATATATATATATAGGACGTTGTAAATAAGGAAAAACAGTTTTGCATATGTGTAGCGCCAAAGACAATTATATATATATATATATATGTATACGTAGCAAGGCAGACAAACAGTCATTCACAACACTGAGAAGCACCGAACAAAAATTCCCTCAAACACGCACGCAGTAATAAATAAAAGAGAGATAAACAACAAAGTATAAGCAGGTGAGGAAAAATAAAAATGTGCCTGTGGATTCATTTATTCTCGTATGCATCCCTAATTAGCACTAGAGACAGCGCGAAGTAAATGCAGAAACGGAAATACAACCGAAGTGATTACGCTTCCCTTAAACCTCAAAGAAAATAGAAACGCTCATTACGCACAGCATCAAAAAAAACATATGAAGAAACAGAAGGAGAGAGAGCCAGTTACAAATTGATTTATATAAAGGTTGCAACGGGCCTTAGCAAACCTGATGGTGGAAGACCTCAATGAATCTGCTTGTAAATTAGAGATGCCACAACAGGGACAAGTCCAATTACCTTCTCTCCTCACATTTCATTTGAGCTTATTTAATGACGTTCTTCCTCTTTTTTTTTTTTTCATTGTTCGTTTCCTTTTTGTTTTTAGTCTTTTCTTCTGCCCACCGTCACCGTCTTTTCTTTTTGAGAGTGGCGCGGCGGCTACATGGGCCAACCACGTCGTTTCTCCGCCTTGAAGGAAAATGTCAGCGTACGCACACGCAGCGCGGGAGCGGTGAGAGCAACGGGAAAAGGAAATTGTCCCAGCCTTGGCCATTCACCGCGTCCGCGCCCTTTCCCTCCATTCATGTGTGTAAGTTATTCATTGCCAGCAAGGGCGCGAGGCCGACAGCCCAAGCAAGCAGGTGAAATCCGCATGCGTGGCTGTGTCATCGCACATCCGAAGAACACACATAAAAACACAGTCAACGAAGAGGAAGAGTGTGAGAGATATATCACCCGCACCGCGGCGAAAAAAAAATATATTACGGCGGAAGCCCCTCCCAAACTAAAAACAGCAAGATACAACAGCATAAAAACAGGGCAAAAAAAGGCTAGCGAAGAAACGGAGTCAAATTCACGTAAAAACACAAAGCAAACCGAACAAGGACCTGTGCAACACATAACAAATATTGTGTAGCGTGTGTATATTCAGGCACATGAAAGAAGGAAGATAAAAGCAGGCATTGCCAAAAAGAAACAAAACAGAAACCAAAAAAAAACTAGGAGAAAATAAAATGAAAAAAAAAAAAAGGAACGAGCGAGATGACGACGAGAATACAGCACACACACACACACATACGCACGCACAGCCCCCCACTACTACCCCGGCAGCTGAAGGGAAAACAAAAAAAAATGAATAAATAAAACAACAAAAGACGGCCAACAACACATAAACAAAAACAAAAAGCAAAAAAAAACCACGAAAGGAATAAACAACGCAAGCATTCAAAAAGTGTATCGGTGTGCATTTACACATATAAACGGCAAGATGTACGCGTCTAGACAAATGGAAGTAAATTTGTAAAGAAGGCCAATGTAAGAACATGCGCTTGAGACAATGTCAACTGACCAAAGAAGTGGCTGTGGCACGAGGACGTCTGTGTCCCAGAAGTAATCCCTCTTTTTTTCTCTCTCTATTCGCCCCCTAAAAATCACTTCATCACGCACCGGCTCTTTCCATCAGATAGACACACTCTCTCTCACACACAAATCCTGCCACATCACCAACAGTACAACAGCCAACAAAAACGTGCATAAAAAGCACCAACACAGCTACTCTTTCTTGCCCTTCCTTTCCCCCTAACCCCGCGCCCACCACGCTACAATACCAATCCCATTATGTCCTCCACCCAACCTATCCCTAATCCCCCCATTTCACAGGCACAGACCAGACATGTTGGCCGCAGCACATTAGAGAGAGGAAAGGAGGGGACAGGTAAAAAAAACAACAAAAAAAAACAAAGAGGAATACGACAAACAACAAAACACCCACAAATGTTTGTGCATAAAAATATCGTTTCATGAGGGTAGAATAGTCATACTGGCTGAAATCCATAGCCTAAATAACGGAAAGCAGAAAACACGTTGAAAACGTCACGCAGGAGCGATCAGAGGTCACGTGGAAAGGAACCAAAGACAAAACAAAAACAAAAAAAAACGGCCAACAAGTCTATCTTTCCATCCCTGTATGTGTGTAGCGGAATATGGGGT